GGGGGAAGGGGACCCCGCGCCGCGGGCCCCCGAGCCGCCGCGGCTTCTCGCCTTTCCCGGCCACCCGCCCCCTGCCCCGGGTCCGCGTATGAATCTCCTGGACCCCTTCATGAAGATGACCGACGAGCAGGAGAAGGGCCTGTCTGGCGCCCCCAGCCCCACAATGTCCGAGGACTCCGCGGGCTCGCCCTGCCCATCCGGCTCAGGCTCCGACACGGAGAACACGCGGCCCCAGGAGAACACGTTCCCCAAGGGGGAGCCGGACCTGAAGAAGGAGAGCGAGGAGGACAAGTTCCCGGTGTGCATCCGTGAGGCGGTCAGCCAGGTGCTCAAGGGCTACGACTGGACGCTCGTGCCCATGCCAGTGCGCGTCAACGGCTCCAGCAAAAACAAGCCGCACGTCAAGCGGCCCATGAACGCCTTCATGGTGTGGGCACAGGCGGCGCGCAGGAAGCTGGCGGACCAGTACCCGCACCTGCACAACGCCGAGCTCAGCAAGACGCTGGGCAAGCTCTGGAGGTAGGGCCCGGCTGGGGGCGGTGCAGCAGGGTGGACTCGGAGGCCTTGGGGGGCGCGGGCCGGGACCCACTCTCCTCGCCCCGCCTCCCAACCGCAGGGATGGCAGTCCTGGGAGCGGGCGGGGTACGGGATGGCGTGAAGCGGGAGTGGGGACAAGGTGTAACTGTGGCTCAGAGTTTGATAAAGTGTTTGGATTGCTCGGGGGTGAGGTCTTGGGGGGTGCAAATAAAAGTGGGGGTAGATAGGCAGAAGATGGAAGATTATTTGTGGGAGACAGAAGGGGGGTGCTTCCGGCGTGCTCGCCAGTCGCCTTGCTGTCGGCGAGGGGGCGAGGCGGGGGCTGCCAGGAGCAGTTGCTCCGGGTCTCGCGGTGCGCGCTCTCGTGCGCCCCACACCGCGGAGATGCGTTGGAGGGTGGGGGCAGTAACCGCGGCGGAGGAAGCCCCCAGGCAGAAGTGCGGGGAGGAGGGAGGCTGGGGGAAACAGCTGAGGGGTTGGGGAGC